CTCTCTGTATAATATCCTATGGATACATATCATTATACATCTGTCCAAACATACAACACTGCCTGAACCCTAATGTAAACTATGGATTTGGGTGATAATGATGTATCAATGTAGGTTCATAAATTATAACAAACTAGAGGCCCAATGCACAAAATTTGTGCAAGAGTAGGCCTTCCTTCTCCCAGCTGCCGGCACTGGCTTCCCTCTGGCACCCAGGACCCAGGCTTCCTTCTGACCCTGGCTTTGTCCAGAATGATGTCCGGAAGGATGTCTGGTCTAATTAGCATATTACCCTTTTATTATTATAGGTTTACTGCTCTGGTGGGAATGTTGATAATGGGGGAGGCTATACATATGTGGGGGCAGGGTACATATGGGAAGTTGCTGTACCTTCTCCTCAATCTGGCTATGAACCTAAAACTACTCTAAAAAAGTGGTTTTAAATTCTAAAAAAATGATTTCCTATTTTTGTTTTTACAGATTTTTACTCCTTTATCTTTTTATACACCTCAAATATACTTATTTTTAAGTCTCTTTTTATATTACTCCATTGTTTCTATTTCCCCATTTTTGTGGGATGCTTTTCTTCAATTGGATTTCCTCAAATACTGTATAACTTGTTATAATCTATTTTAATAATTCATAATTGTTTATATTCTTCATATTGGTCTTCCTCAAATGTTTTACAATTTCTGTGTGTGAGCTCATCCTCTATGGGAATTATTTCTCAGAGGTTCCCACGAGTGCCCCAGATTGTGGAAACCTCCCCAAAGTTGCCTCTACCTCAGTGTTAAGGGCTCACAATTTCTCAAATTTCTTCCTCTGTTTCTATCTTAGAGTCTCTGTACTTCATGAGTGGTGAAGGTTTAAACCTCATGTGCAAACCCAGCTTTTCTATTTTCTTGTAAGTAATTCTATTTCTACTCATAGAAATTGCCTAGGACAATTTTTAACCTCTGCGCTGTAATTTCTCTCCCAATTTCCTGTTATGTTCAAGTTCAAAGGCTTTGATTTTTGTTCCCCCACAACTGTTAACTTAAGACAAATATATCCCTGGCCATGTGGGTAATAGTTCCTGAGGCATTAACTCACCAGGGTAGATATAGAATTACCTATTAACTTATGGCATCTAGAGATTTATCTTCCTTGCTCTTGAAATCAAATATATATTTATAATACATACATATGACATATATATACATATATGTCTACATTCAGCATTTCTGTATGATCAGGAAATTTCATGTGATGCTGGGCAAGCTGTTTAATCTCTGTATGTCTGGCTGCTTCATCATAAGACTGTAGTGATGATTAAACAAGTTAATTCATGTAAAGTGCTTAGAATACAGCCTGGCCCAAAGGTTGTCAATAGATGTATGGCAACTATCAGTTCTTTTTCTTGACCAGACCTGGTCCCTTGTCTTTATGTTTTTCAAACGTATTTTTAAAAATAAAAATGCAATTTTTAAAACATTTACATTTAAAACATTTACATTTCTCTCCTCTTCCCACTCCCAACAGCAAACTTTACATGGAAGTTAGTAGAAAATCTTTTTTTAAATCTCTTATAATGAATTAAGCTTATTATACCTGACCACTCAATTCCCGCCAATGTGCAATTGGAATAATCACCTTAAAATAGCTGGTTTATGATTATTAAGTCCATTAATGATCTATCAGAAATTATCACCCAGAAAACATCACAAAAGCTTCTGGTCAAGGGCATCTCAGGTCTTGAAATGATTTCTCATGTCTTGTCCATTCAGGCTGCTGTAATAAAATACCTCAGACTGGGGGGCTTATAAACAACAAAAATTTATTCCTCACAGTTCTGGAGGCTGGGAAGTCCAAGATCAAGGCACTGGCAGATTCAGTATCTGGTGAGAGCCTGCTTCCTTGTTCATAGGTGGCCGTCTTCCCTCTAATGGAAGGGCAAGGGAGCTCTCTGGGGTCTCCCTTATAAGGCACTAACCTATTCATGAGGAGTCCGCCTTCATGCCCTAATCACCTCCCACAGGCCCCACTTCCTAATACATCACCTTGGGAGTTAGGTCTCAACATTAAATTCTGAGGGAACACTAACACTCAGTCTACTGCACTCAGTATCACCCCAGAATATTCCAATAGCAGAACTATCGACCATTATTAAAGAGGGAAGGACTTTAAGGTGTGCTGAATTGGAAAAGTACCAAGACAATAGATACAGAATAGTACATACATGCTGTGGTTCTGCCTAAATAAAACAAAAGGATGTAGGTGTATAAGAGGGGGGTGCAGGGGGTGAGAGAGAGGATGTAGAGAGAACATTTCTAGAATACTCAGGAAACTGTTAACAGAGGTTACATAAGATGTTTTTGAGAAGAAAGTGACAGGTTCAGGACTGTGTCAGCATGTTCACATGGCATACTGAGTGGGATGGGGTGGGAAGGACTGGAAGCAATTGGGAGAGAATGAACCCAGGAGACCATTAAAGGACATTGCAATGGTCCAGGTCCATGGTCAGCAAACTGCGGCTCGGCAAACTGTGGCTCGCGAGCCACATGCGGCTCTTTGACCCCTTGAGTGTGGCTCTTCCTAAGCCTTAGGAGTACCTTAATTAAGTTAATAACAATGTCCCTACCTATATAGTTTAAGTTTAAAAAATTTGGCTCTCAAAAGAAATTTCAATCGTTGTACTCTTGATATTTGGCTCTGTTGACTAATGAGTTTGCCGACCACTGGTCCAGGTAGAGCTGAGGGGGCCTGTTCTGAAGCAGAGATGGAGTGGAGGAGAAAAAAAGAAATGAGATTCACTTTCAAGGTGCTCCCAGTGGTACCCTCAGGGCCTAGCACAATATCTACACCTTCTAGGTGCTCAACAAACGCATGAAATGAATGGTCTCCCATATAAAGACTTACAGTTCCAGTTCCCAAAGACATCCCGCTGCACATCTTAAGAGCCAAATTCCACAGACCTTGTCACCTTCTTCTCAGAGTTCACTCACCCAGCCCAGGACCTGTGCAGAGTCAGCAAATGGGATCCACAGGAGGGTGAGGCTGGAGTGAGAGAACTGCAGGCACAACTCTGAGCTGGTCCTGTTTGCACATGGCAAGATGGGTGTCTCCAAAAAGCTGTGGCCCTGCTTCCCTCAGGAGCTAAAGGGAGACAGGAAAATTACTAATGAGAAAGGGAGAAAATCAACCCAAAAAATCAGATCTAACCCTACAAACATGCACACACCTTGCACTTAGGAGGTGCTTAAAATAGGTTTTTGCAGCAGTCGCCAACCGGTGGTCCGTGAAGTCCGAAAGGTTGGCGACCGCTGTTTTAAAAAATTAGACAAAGACAGGGGAGTGAGCAGGAGGAAAAGGAATTTCAGGAGTGTGACATATGAAGACTGGTTGGAAGAAAGAGAACTAATGCCCCTGAAGAACAGAGCATTCAGTGGCCACCACCTCAAACCTTCATATGTGAAGGCTCAACTGGAAGTCTTTGGGGATAGGGAGAGTAGAGTTAATGGTATCTTCAGAGCCTAATGTGGGGTCTGGCTGATAACGTCCTGCTCAAATGTTTATTGGATGGATGGATGGATGGATGGATGGATGGATGGATGGATGAATGGACAGATGGATGGATCAATGAATGGATGAACTAATGGATGGATGGGTGGATAAAAGACTACCTCTATCTGGCTTTCAGAGGCAAAATTGAAACCATTGTTTTATCAATCAGGTGGCTGTGATGGACAGCTTTCAAAGATGGCCCTCAGCAATCCTACCTCCTGGTGTTCACATCTGTGTGTAATCCTCTACCTCTGAGTGTTGGCTGTACCTGATGATTTCCTCCTAATGAGTAGAAGACAGCAAAAGTGATGGGATGTAACTTCTGCGAGAAGATTACAAAAGACACTGGTTTCTGTCTTCCTGGACTCTCTCTCTGTTGCTCACCTTGGTGACAGGCTGCATAGTGGAGAGGCCTCTGTGGCAGCCTTAGGCCAACAGTCAGTGAGGAGCTAAGTCCTATGGCACACAAGGAACTGAATGTTGCCAACAACCTTGTATGGAAGGAGATCCTTCCCCAGTGAAGCTCTGAGACTCGGCCCCAGCCCTCCCGGGACCTTGACTTTGGCCTGTGTGGGACCCTGAGCAGAGAACCCAGTTAGCTGTGCCAGATTCCTGATCACAGGAACTGTGGGAAACAAATGTGTGTTGTTTGAAGCCACTGTGTTTGTGTTAATTTGTTGCCAGCAATCAGTGGCTAATACAGTGGCTGATTTGAGTTTGACATAAAAATGGACATTCTGGCCATTAAACTCGGCAAATGACGGTAGTGGTTAAGAGCCTAGGGTTTGGTACCAATTGGCCTGAGTTTGAATTTTGAACCCCCAACTTCCTAGCGGTGCGGCTTTGGCAAGATCATCAACTTCTGAGCCTGTTTCTGCATCTTTAAAATGGGCATAATTCTCTTCTCATAGAGATTACGAAAGGATTACATGAAGTGATTATATAAAATACTAAGCCCAGTACCTGTCACTGAATAGAAGGTAGATATTAGAAAATAATAATAATAATAATAATAATAATAATAATAATGGAGCATGTTCCCTCCCAAAGCAGCAAGTGTCCCATTCCTGGAAGTAACCAAGCTGAGGCATGATGGCCACCTGCAGGAAGTGAAAGGAGCCCTAGAGGACCCCAAGCCCTTTCCCAAGCCTCGGATTCAAGAGCTGTGTGTCTGCCTGGCCAAGGCCAAGGGGCGGGGCGGTCAGGTGTGCTGAGGGACCACCAGAGTTACCTTGCACCAGGGAATAGTACCAGCTGTCGCCAGCCTCCAGCAAGGGTGAGGCCTTCCCTCCCGCACAGCCTCTGGGTCAGGTATGTGGCCACCACCCTAGCTGGGCCCATGGGGCCCAGGAAGGTAAACACCCAGCCAGGAAGTGATTGTCACGGGCATGGGGCCAGCTCTGGGCCGAGGCAGGTCTGAAGGTCAGGAATGCTTCCCAGGGAGCCTTTGCAGGAGAGGACAAAGTGTTTGTTGCGGGCTCTCCGCGACAGAGCGGAGGGCGTGTGGATCTTGCTGGGGACAGGCCAGTGGACAGGACAGAGGACAGGAAGGAAGGGCCATCGGGGAGGCCCAGCCCCAGGAGCTCCTCACTGGCAGGTGAGTAAATAGTTTCTGTACTTTTAAAATGGAATGAGATGAAATGAGAGATGGAATGGAGGTTGCGGCCAGGACAGGATTGGAAAGACCCCAGGCGGGTGTGTGAGGGAGAGGAGACCATCCCACCCCTGCTCATTGAGAGGCAACTCCAAGAGAGAACAGCCCAGACTTCCCTCCCCAGGTCCAGTCTCCTCTTGGCTTCATGCACCCCGCTTCCTGCCAGCACTCAATTTCACCATCTTTGAACTGGGGTAGTGTTTCCCTCCGGCTCCTCTTCTGTGATGGCTGTGGGGGCAAGTGAGACAATAAGCAGGACTGGCTACATAATTTGCAGCGCCCTGAGCAAAGGGAATATGTGGGGCCCCTTGTTCAAAAGTTATTCTGAATTTCAAGAATTAAGAATTTTAAAATTAAGAATGGCAACATCAGAGCCTTAAATCAAATGATTGGCTCTTCTAAGAGCAGGGCCCTGTGCAACCGTGCAGGCCGCAAACCATGTCGCCAGCCCTAATTATAAACCTCCTGCATGTAAACTGTGAAGTGACAAACAAACTGTGATTGCTACGAGCGCCCGCTCCATTCTCGGGGTCGGGAAGCACACCTGCGGAACTTGGCTCTGAAGGTGCGCAGAGGGATGTCTTTGGGAGCCATGAGGTGACAGCTCCCTGCAAGGCCACCCTACTACATTGGCCCCTGCCGCTCAGGGTCCCACCTCAAGAGAACAAAAGGCTCCGCCCCTCTGAACCTTCTGGACTGTGCACCTGTCTGGCATCAAGCCAAAGCCTGGTGTGACTCCACGTCTGGGGACACGGCTTTCTTGGATGTGGTGGGGTAGTCTCCTCTTTTCTGTGTTGATGTAAAGTCTGGGATGCTCACAGTCACTGGCTGAACAGACCCGGGCTGTGGCTCCTGTCCTTCGGACAGTTCTGCCCTGTTCTGATGACCAACACAGGTTTGGCTTTTGGAAAGTGCTTCTGTTAATGTCGTAAGACCACTGGTGGGAATGTGCCAGTCTCCCTGTCCCCTTTGTCCCCCTTCCCTTCTCCCTCTCCACTTTCTGCCCAGGTTTTCCCTTTCCTCTTCTCTCCCACCACACCTCCAGCTGCCCCGGCATCGCTTGGCCTTAGTAGAGACCAGTGTTTCTATGGGTGTCTTAAACTTTCCGGTCCTTGAAAGCTGACAATAACCATTTCCCTTGACTCCTTACTGGAGTCCAAATTGTCTTGAAAACCCACCATTGGAGGGGCTCCCCACAGGAGAGACGAGGTGACCCCAGCAGCCAGAGGCGGAGGGAGATAAGTGTTTGCCTATGGAACTGGCCCAGGCAGGGGCAGCCCAGGAAACCTGCATCAGTGGTCAAAACAGCGCGGAGACTCAGCAGAGGAGGCCAAATCTAACCGCCCACTGCTGGCTCTGCCCACCTGCTGGCTCCACCGGGGACACCGGAGTCATTATTGGTCTCAACAGCCCTAGATCAGACACCCCATCTCCCAGGAAGGGGTCCTTTCCCCTCTCCATGAACCCAGTGCCTCCCCAGTAAAGGGTCAGCTCTGACTCTCTGAAGTTACCATCAGCACCACCCTAAAATGGCATAGATTCCTTCCTTTACTACTTTATGAAATCATTGCCCCCATCCCCCACCCCCCCAAAAAAAATCATTGCTGAGCACCCTGGCAGGTGAGGCTTTGAAGAGGGGCTGGGACACAGGTAGGAGAGGCAGAAGCCAGAGGCCAGGCTTCATGAAGGGGCCCAGGACACCTTCCTCATCCAAAGAAGGTTATGGTGCTGAGAGGCATTTTGACTGACTGAGCAGGAGGTACATCTCTGAGACTCTGGGCTGTCTTATTCAGAACTCCCCTTGGCATCTTTGGGGGTTGTTGGGCCAGGGTAGCCTGGGCCTCGGAAGGAATTTTCTTTCTGGTCACCTTGGGCTCACCTTTCGCCACTTCCTCAGTGGGCAGAGCTCTGCTTCTGGACCTTGAGGAAATGCCCAGAGAAGCCAAAGAACTGGCATTGCTTTCCTTGGTTGACAGCAGTCCTTGAGGCCCCGCTCTGGGGAAGTCTGCACTGGGTCTGGGCAAAGATTTTGAGCACTAAAAAGGGGGCTTTTTCTGAGAATACCCTTCGTTAAGGACCTGGGTATCTGGGAACCTGGTTCAGCCATCTCTCAATCTTTCTACTTCTACTCACCTTACTTTTGGAATGGAAAAATAAAATCACATGTTCAAATGAGTGGGGGATCATCAAAGAAATAGCAGGGAGGCCAGCATGGAGGAGGTGACCTTTGAGCTAGATGTTATTAAATGATCTTACATCACTTATTAATTCTTTTGCAAGAGAAGGCTGAGGGATATGGCTTTATGTAAAGTAAGGCTCTGTAACTTGAAAATGAGATAGTAATTTTTCACACCCTAATTGGATGTTGAAAGTTCTTTAAATAGCACACTTGCACAGGAAAGGGGCAGCAGGGTTTTAACAAGGTGGAAAGTGCATGGGACCCCAAAGGCTCCCAGAGATCACACTGTATGGCCAACGTGTCTCATGGGGCACACTGCCCTTCACTTCTGTGCTCCAGTGCCGGCTGGCTTTGCCTCAGATTCTCCCTTCCCTTTTCACTCCTGGCTGAGGTTCAAGCTCCAGCATGGGTGTCTGCCACAGCTCTGACCATCAAGTATCTAGGTCTTTGATGAGTTGTAAAATGGGGTGCTGATTCGTTATTAATTAACGACTATGTTTTCTACCAGAGACAGACCCTTCAAAACATAGGTTCTCAGGGGATGAGCCGCTTAAAAGGCTTGGAGGAGCTTGGGAGCCACTGGGGCAGGGACAAGGAAGAAAGACAAGCTGGGCCGGAAGACCTTGGCCCCCAGGCTCTGCCTGGAAGTGGCAAGAGTCAGTCCTGAGTGGCTGGTGGGAGGATTGCTCAGTTCACATACAATATGACCTGCTGTCTCAGTAGTTCAACCCACCATGACCATGGGCTCCTTGCAGACTGGCTGCTTAGAGAACACCTCATTCAGCCAGTCAGTATTCGCTGCACACTTGCTCTGAGCCAGCAGTGATAAGATGTGACAAGATGGATGATCTCGCTGTCCCCCTCCCAAGCCCCCCACCTTCATTCCAGCCCCTGAGCTCCCTTGCCCTCTTTGCTGCTGCCCAGATAAGTAGAGTAAGAAAACCTAGTTTCTCACATAGATACTTCTCTCTCTTCCACTCTCTCTAAAAATCAATAGAAAAATATCCTTGGGTGAGGATTAAAAACAAACAAAAAAACACACAACAACATATCCTCGGGTGAAGATTTAAAAAAAAAACAACTTCCAAGTTTTTTAAGATGACAAAACGCTGGCATAATGGGCCCTTCCATGATGCTCTATAGACATAAATCCACTTGAGAAAGGGAATACATCTATAAACAGTTTCTGCTCTCATCTGATAAAAACCTTCCTTGGTGAGTCCTTGAACGCTGGAGGAAAGACTTATTTCCTGTTGAGTACCTTTGTAAAGAAGTTAGCTGTGAACTTTGAAATGATATTAAGGTTCTTTGTTTCTGGATTAAAAAGGCATCTGGCACATGGACAATTTTCCCTAGTGCCTCAGATATCAGAGCCTGGGACTTTCTTTCTACAGTTTTCTGGCCTCTTTGGAACCAGTTCAGTGTCAAAATCAAAGCCACTTGCTGTCGGCTAACTTGGGTTCCAAGTCAGGGTTAAGACATGGAGAGATTCTAACTTGGGGTTAGAATGAAGCCATCTGATGTTCAGCCTAGGATAAACAGACCGGCTAATGTTTGGAGAAACATTATCATCACCGATGTGTGTATTCACTGGAGAAATATCACAGAAATTGCCAAAATAAAGGAACATCTTTTAACCACGGGCACAGCCTGTGGAGGCTAAGGTGGCCCCCCTGTTACTGCTTAGACCCAAGCTGTTTCTGTCTACTTGTATTCCTCCCTGAATCTCCGTGATCTTACAAGACTGTGTTCTCAGGAAAGGCTGTTTACCGTGGGTCAGGATGTTCTGAATTAAAGGGGGTGCGAAATAGCTTAGCAGTCATGCTCTTAACCGCTCGGCCACAGCCAGGCTGCCTCCGCCACTGGCTGGCTGTGTGACCCTGGCTGAGTCAGTTAACCTCTCTGAATCTCCGTGTCCTCCTCTGTAAAAATGGGGGAAACGGGACAGGACCGTAACCATTCATATAGGATCGCCCGAGTATTCCATGAGGTGACGATTCTAAGGTGCTCACACTCAGCTTCAGCTATTGTTATCCCAGTAGGCCTTGAGAAATAAAACAGATCCTTCTTTTCAACATAAACGTTGACTTTGAGCAGCAGGGAGTGAATTTATCATTTTACATCAATTATTTAGCACCTACAGGAGTGTATTAGTATGCAGAGAACTCTCTTAAAAAATATGTATTTCTTGATTGATTTCAGAGAGTAAGGGAGAGGGAGAGAAAGAGATAGAAACACCAATGATTAGAGAGAATCATTGATCGGCTGCCTCCTGCACACCCCCAACGGGATTGAGCCTGCAACCTGAGCCCGAAACCTGGGTATGTGCCCTGACCGGGAATCGAACCATGACCTCCTGGTTCATAAGTCGATGTTCAACCACTGAGCCATGCTGGCAGGGCCAGAGAACTCTATTGAAGCATTCACCTGTCCTAAGTGCTCTGAGCAGCCAACTCTGAGAAACTCCTCTTGATGGGCCTTTCAGGCCTGATGTCCACCAGCAAGATTGTCCACCGTCTAGGTGTTGCCTCAGGGGACCTGATGATCACTTCCCTCCAATCTATAATAATAAAAGCATAATATACTAATTAGACCGGATGTCTAATGCTAATATGCTAATGACCATAATATGCTAATGACCTTCCAGATGTCCTTCCAGATAACCTTCCGGACGAAGCCGTGGCTGCGAGGGCCGAGCCCTTTGCACGAATTTTGTGCATCAGTCCTCTAGTGAATAATATTTCGAGTTAAGTGAAGGCATTTT